GCCAGGGCACGGTTATTGGGCTCACCTCAGGCGTGGTGAGGCTGACATCGGTTCTCAGTCATACTCACACTTTTCTTTAGATGCACACACCTTCACACTCCAAGACACACACACACACACACAATGTGCCACACCTTCACTTTCGCTCAGAAATGTCCCCTTTGCCAACACAAAATGATCCACAATACTCTCACAGCCCATCAGAAATGTTTAAAATACAATCAGTATTTTGAATATTTAAAAAAAAATACAATATCAAAGATGGAGGAAAAAAATCCAACGTATGTGTTAAAAATCTAAATGAAATCCTTGTTGGTTTAATGACAACTCTGTGTTGCGTGTGTGGGAGTTTTCTGTAACAGTAGCCAAGGGTTTTCGCTAGATTATATTTTAGTGCTACCTCTTACTCACTACAAAGAGCAAACAGCCACATTAATACAAATGAGCACCTGCAGCCACAACCACAGATGTCTGTGGGTGTTTTTAGTCAAAGTTTCCAAGAATAAAAAAAGAGAGAAATTTTCATAGATTATTTTGACAAAGATTACTTTCAAACAGGATGACTTGTCCCATCCAGATGTTGCTAAAGTGTTATAAATAACTCCGCATATCAGCACTAATCAAGCCGGGGAGGTTCTTCAGCAGAGTGGAACTACTGAAATACGTCGGCCTGCAGTCAAGATAATAATGTCAAGAGTAATTCTGCCTCAACGACCACAGAAGCAGGAAAATGTTACAAATACAATAATAGGGGAAATATAAATTTCCATTAAGGGTTGAAATTTTTTAAACAAAATCTGAGGAGTGTTAAAAAGAAAAAGGGGGGAACAAATCTAAATGAATCGGTCAACTCAAACTGGGCCGGCTTACAGCCTCACATGACCTGATTCAAATGTGGCAGAGACGTTACAAATGTGACATGGCAGACACATGTGGCGCTAAAAAACAGGTTTGTGGTTCTGTGCAGGTCGGCTGTTTTCTGCGAAGGCTCGACAAAAGAACTTATCGGCCACAGGGAGCCGGAGGGATCCGTTTGGGCGGATGGGAACGCCAGCGACTCCAGACACTCTGACATCTTAGCCTGGAGACAAACCCTCGGTGACGGGGCCGGCCGCGTGGCCGAGGCTTTTCAAGGCCTGTCTCGTTGGCTTTAGTTTTCCCACAGTATCATCTCTGTTTCCCAGCATCTGAAGCTGAGCTCCGCCCGGGATCGGTTGTTCTTTGGGGGTTAAAAACTACATTGCCACTTGATGTCTCTTCCAGTCTGGTCTGAATCTCTGCTACTTTGCCCTGTTGTGCTACAATTAAGTAGATTTTGTCCCAGGAAACACAGAATAAGAATCTTTAAAAGGTACTGGGAAGATTTCAGCTCGGGATAAATCAACACTAAATATATATACGACAATGAGAGAAAGTTTATCCAGAGGAAAAGTATGTTTTATATATATACAAATTCCTCTGTCGAGAGGACTGCAAAGGTCAAAAGGGGGAAATTGTTGAATTTATCATGAAGAACAATTAAATGTGTCTAATCAATCAATTAAAAAACAAGCTTTTTTACCAAACAGCCCAGTTTACTGAAGGTGTTTTCATACAAAAAACAATTATTTTTCCAAGATTCCAGCTGCTGACTCCACTGGAATCACATGACCAACCCCAACATATATGAAGAAATCAGACTTTCCGCAGAAACTTGCCAAACGCGTTTTTGCCCCTCTTTGCAATAATGCCCGGGCAGTAGTCTCGTTTCAATCTGCATATCCTCTGTAAAAACGGGGATAATGCGAGTAAACTGTGGCACGGTGATTTCATGGTTGTGTGTGTGTGCCTGTTCAAACACACTGTGTGGTGGTGTGGGTGTGGCGTTACACCTCGTGTGGCACTGGGCAGCCAAGATAAGAGCTGATCCTATCCATGTTTCCCTTCTGCAGAGCCTGCCCGCCCGCCCACCCACGCACACTCAGCCGCACACACAAACGCCCCGCACCGTACCCATCGTGCCATTGTGGTCCAATTTTACAATCCGGCTGCCCTGGGCTTAAATATCCTCTCGCGTTGGGAGCCGGAGCTGTGAACGCGCGGGGTAAAAAAAGCTAGGTCCGTATTTCGCGCGCTGCATGTTGGCACGTGACCCTCATGCAGCCGAGGGCCAACAGGGGGTCTGAGGCCAACAGGGGTCTGCGGGCCCACACCGGCTCAGATCAGCTCGCTTACTGCCCCGGATACACAGCTTGTGAGAGTAGCCACCACCACACTGCCCCAAATAAACATAAAGTGTGAACAAATGTCAGGCAAACCTGAGCTGGACAAAGAGAAGGGAAGAGCTTACCTTCTTCCTCGTCTGAGTAGCCTAACCAGTGGGCACCAAAAAAGAAATTAGAAATTAAAAAAGTTCCCTCTAAATTTCAACAGGACTTCAACTGAAGCTCAGGCGCACACACACACACACCAATCGGGCAAACTTTGATGTGATCGGCCACCCCGATAGCAAGCCAGAGCTGACTCTCTAAGCCTCAAACAAAGTTTGGTGTGCAATGACCAAGACCGGAGGACAAAAAAAAAAAAGAGAAGAAGAGGGCTTTGGAAGAGGGGGGGTTGGAGGCAGAAAAAAAGAAAAAAAAAGTGTGTCCACTGAGTGAAGTTTAACTACTTACAATTCCAGTTTAGCGTCCTCACACACCGCCTCCACCCCGGACCCTTTCACGGACGCATACGCACACACCTTTTTTTGGGTGGGGGAGGCGCTGAGCGGGGTTTTTTTGGGGGGAAGGCCGGCTTTCTGTGTTATGTTCCATCCGGTTGCTGCTGCATAGCTACGGGATGGGCAGGCGGCCCGGGCTTATCCCCCTTTCTCTGCTATCTTTTCTTCTCCTCGTCTGCCGCCCTTACAGATCCGACTACTGACAGCAGCCGCTGAGACCCGGGGCCACAGATAGCCACTCGGTGCGAGCGGAGAGGCGCATCAAATGTATTTGATTGAAAACATTTTTTTTTTTTTTTTTAAACACATATCTGATTGGGTTTGGGGTGAAGGAGAAAAGGGGGAAAACAAAGATTAGGCAGTAAAAGTACGCGAACAAGTGACGCCACGTAGGCGAGATAGAGTGAGGAAGTGGAAAAGGATGAAAGGATTCAATTTCTTTGGGCGAGAGGAGGCTAAGTGTAGTGAATGTGATTTGATGGTGGTGCTGAGATGGGCTTTAGGGCGTACAAATGCTATTAGTCACTGTTGTGCAGACCTGTTACCCAGACACACACACAAAAGTCAACTCCCAATATGGCATGTCGGGGAAAAAAAGACAAGAAAAAAAAAATCCATCAATCCCTCAATGTGAAGATTACAGATGTCACAGCTATTGTGCTCATATGTATACAAATGTATATAACTGAGCAAGTGAAGCTGTGAAGCACCTTGAAGGAGGACCACAGGGCTCAGTAAGCCGTCTTGTATGAGACGGTGCACCTGCTGAGAGGAAGACTAGGAGGAGGATGGAAATGCCCTCATGCTGTCCCATTAGCTCGGCGTGGAAATGTGGATGTAACAGGTCCTCGCGCTCAGATTTGACAGTGGTCGCAGATATCATACGCGCTGTTCTGTGCCAACCTAAAATCCTCCCAGGGGGACTCTGTTACCGAGCTTCTTCCAGATTTGCAGCATCCCGGTAAAGTCGTAATCAGCTCAATCGTGTCATGTAATTTCCCAACGAGCCAAACGCTGTCACATTTCTTACATAATTGCATATCTGTATTGTTAAAAAAAAATTAAAAATGGGATGAAATTGACAAAAATGTCATGTTTCCGTCACAACCCCAGCAACGTTTCCCACTGTTTCTTCTGCCACGCTTTATTAGCGGCAACAAGCTCGACTCCACACAATCGACCGACTGAAATGATGAAAATCTATTGCCATTATTGCTGGGGGTTTGTCGTCTCACCTCTAATGCAAAGCGAGAGCTCAAAAAGTGCAACGTGATGGATTTCCAGTGGAGAGAAACAATACAGGAAAAAAGCTATAAGTCACCAGTTTATCCATCGATCCACCAATTATTACTCAACTAGGCAACTTCCCATCGTGACGGCTTCATCTTTAAATTGGACGGTGATACTATCAATCTTACATATTACAGTATGTATGTTCTCAATGTAGCGTTTTGTACATATATCCATTTTTTAAAAACTCAAAAAGCTCATTTGTTACTGACTAGTATCAGCATTTTATCACTACACAATGAAAATAAAGTAGACTATGCTGATAGTCTGGAAGGTGGTAAAGTGGTGCAGGCAGCCATCTTTGGATAGGCCGACAAATATTCCTTAGGGCTAAATTCAGAGTCGGCTTGTCTTTTAGGGAATTTGGGGGACAGGGGAAAAACACCCTTTTGACATTTTTCCGGGGTGAACGTACTTGGGCCTGCTTTGAATTGGTCGGCGCTAAAGAAGTGGGGCACAGTTCATGACCACTGAGGCTCGTCCCTTAATTTCCTTGCCTTTATTTCCCTTCTTTTGACGGAGCCCTCCCCCCACTCCGCTCACTTTAAGACTCCTTCCACACCACACCCATGACCCCCAATGTGCAGACATAAGGTCAAGCTCCAAAGATCACAGAGAGAAGCCAGACGAGAGACAGAAAGACAGAGACCTAAAATCCTCCTTTCCTCCCAAAAACCAGGCCAAAACCTCGAGCCTTCCCACCAGCTCCAGACCCCCTCCTTTAGCCCAGTTGTGTGTAGGGGAGGCAGTGAGCACTCTTGCAGAAACATCAGCCCAGGGAAATTCAAATGAGGAAGAAATGGTGAGGGAGACACAGAGAGAGGGAGAGCGGGGGCACAATAGTGAGAAAATAGGATAAAAGAATGAGATGGGAGAGTGTTAGGTAGGAGGGAGGGAGGGAAGGAGGGAGGGAGGGTGGGGGGGAGCTGGAGAGGTTGCTGAGGCTGCAGGTTAAAATAATGTGTAGATCTGAGGAGATTTGCCCAGAACATTTTTATTCAGCCTCTGATTACTCCCAGCTCTCCCGGCACTCCCCTTCCTCTCCTCCTGCGTTGTTCCTGCGTTTGTTTGTTTTTGGCATTAGTGTTATGACTGCTGCAATCCACGTGTATGTACACCAGCATGCTGATTAGAGCCGGAATATTTTAGGAACGCAAATATTCACACTTGCGCAGGCATGTTGAGGCATAACGCACACAAGCATACTTAGAAGATGCTCGGGAGCGTGCGAGTTGGGAAACAGGCCGAGGCTCACCTGCGTGGCTGACGGAGTCCCCTTCCACGTTGAGCGAGATGGACTGGTCCCCATCCTGCCTCCCGCCGCCCAGGATCATCCAGCTCTCCAGGTCATCCGAATCGGACGACTCCGACTGGAAGCTGGAGTCAGACTCTTCGGAGTCAGACTCTGAACTGCTGGAGACCAAAGTGAAGGGTACATCTGGACTACTTTTTCTTCTTTTGGTTTCCTGAAATGTACAACAAAAACACAAACACACGCACACACAAAAAAACATACACAGTCAAAAAAAGGGCTGAACCGACAAGGAAGAAGAGTTGACCCCACATTTGACCGGCTGCCGGACTGGCATCATGGGCCAGTTTCCTCATTGGGTGACTTTCATTGTTTAAGCCTTAAACAGGGAATTTGTCTGGCAGTTCCATGACATAATATTGTGCAACTTACTTATAAACTATTTTATTTCAAAGTCTGGGACCAATTTTTCTTTTTAAATCACATGCGTCAATGCTAGTTTTTTTTTTATATTTTCTACCTTAATGGTCATTTTGTTCTAATGATCCCCTAACAGAAATGATCAAAACCTCAAAATACATTATTTCTTGAGGCAGTCAGTTACAATAACTTTACCCACAATTATTTCTGGAGAAACTGTACTCAAATTCACGCTGCCTTGAAATGCATATTTACAATTTATAATGAACTGCTTATAGGCAGATTGTCGGCTATGTTATTAGCTTCTTCCTTAAGTTACTACATACAGATCAAATCATTAAGTGTGCATCGTTTAAATTAATTTTTAATCCAGAACAATAAATACATAAGCTAGTGTACTAAATATTCTATGCTTTTTCTATATAATAACAAAATAGACTGTGTTTAATGAACAAGATGTTTATACCAGAACATCTACTGTAAACAACTGGGATCACCATGTGGTGTAAACTAGAAGGCCCTCCTTGCTCTACCTGTTGTGCTGGGGTTGAAGTCTGCAGCAGGCCCAGCCTTTGACCCTTTGAGGCGCACACCCCGTTCTCATCATCAGTGGTGTCATCCTCAGAGATAGAGATGACCTCTGGGCTGGAGTCAATTACGATGACTTCCTCGAAACGTGACGATGACAAGGTCTGACTTCTACGGTCGCTTTTTCTCGTCTTCCGTTTTTCTACTTGCTTCTTCTTCTCCTCTTTTGGGCCTCGCTTAAGACTTCCAGTTATAGGTGATGGCGGCGTGCTCGTATCTTCAGGTGCGCTGTCCCCGTCTGTGGTCTTGTCCTCCTGTTGCAGGCTGTCCTGGTTCCGTCTTTCGTCCGGCTCCTCTCCGTCCTCCAGCGCCTCCATCTCCCCAGGATTAGAGGAGTAGTGGAGCTGGCTGTAGAGGTGGAACTCCAGCTCACTGTCGACCTCTGACCCCTCACAATCCCCTTCATCCTCTTGATAGAGATCATCCTCCAGCTCCGCCTGGTCGTAGTAAACACTGCACATCACCCCAAAGCGCACTCAAAGCATCCACGCACGCCTTACCAACACTCACAGTGGATGGAGGGTGGGGGTGTTGGTGATACTGCGAGGACAAAAACACAAAAAACAGATTTACATCGAAGCAACAGCAACATGCTTTTATGGTAAATGTGAATTGTTTCAGAGAGGGATATGTTTTGCTGAAAACCATAGTCAGAAAGTGGAGCTATACCTTGCTACTGCGCTCATATTTATTGTCGGGCATACCATAAAAACACCAACCCCGAGTATTAGTCGGGCCTTTCAGACTGATGATCCAATTAATGCCGCGGACATCATTCTGAGAAAGGGCTGAACGTGTTGCAACTAATGGCTGTAATTATTTGGTCTGTAAAAGGTCAGATAACCAAGTTCAGCTCCGTTAGCTCAGCTTTAAATGGCTTATTTAGTCAGTTAAGACCACTTCAAAAGAGAAAAAATATTTTTTTGTTTTATAACTAAACTTAAAGGAAGACTTAAGGATGGACGAGTCAGAATTTTTCACCATTCAAAAAACATTAAAGAAATTGAAAATTTCCCAAAGGATGTAATGACCAAAACTCAATTAAATTGATTCCATTTGAAATTGTTTAGACATTAAACGGCAGAATTTTTTTTTCCTCAAAAAAAAAAAAAAGCTCCCATAATGTTTATAGAGTTCAAAATATGCATTCCAATTGAATCAACGCATCACTTTATGATATCATGACAACGTAATGTTCCGACTTTACCATATCTTCACAACATTTACTCCCTTTTCAAGTTTTCCCAATTCCGAATCTTGTCTGTGTCGAACTATTCCCAATAGCCACTGTTAATCCCCATCGAGCCAAGTATAATAAGACCAATGTAATAAATCAGTCCTACATTATTACCAGAGACTGACTGACAGCTCATCGCCTCAACCATCCACGGCAAAGAAGAATCGAAATGGACACCGGCCTGTGTCAATTACAAGAGACTTGCTGCTTCTTCTTCTCCAGAAAACCATAAGGCCTTGTTATAGGAGCTGAGAAAGCAGCAGACTTTTTCATCAGAGCTGCTGATAAGCCAACAGCTTGGACAAAGGTTGATCACCTCTGAGGTGCTCGTTTCAACCAACAGGACCTAACGAGACCAAATCCACACCCAGCACGGAGAAAAAGTGTCAGAAACCGTTAAAACATTGACCTCGTACACTGTGTGAAACATTGTGTTGTTAATTTGTCCAACTCCTGCCGCTTTTTTCCCAAGAACACACACACAGTGGATGCTGAAGGAGCACTGGCCCATTGCTCTGTCCAGTCCTGCGTGTCTGTGCCATGATGGCTGGAGATGATTGGCTCCCGGGCCACACGCACTGCATAAACGCCATGGTACATGGCCACGAGCCGGCCACCGGGGATTAAAGGGACAGAAAGTAGAGTCTTACCGGCTGGTAAAGGGGGGTTACAGTTATGTGTTCGAAGTTTAGAAGCGCACGGGGGACTGGGAGGGGGCAAACGCCCGACTGTGTTTCGCAGAGCCGGCGATTAATATTCTGTACTTGAAGCATTACAACAGTCACGGTCAAGCAGGGTCTAAATAAGCGGTTTTACTTGACTTCTCTGCATAATGTTCTGCTCTCGACTGTGTGGACACGGTCAACACTACTGGACTCTACAGTAAGTGGCGCTGCATCTTTAAAAGTAGCCGTCCATCTCATTAGGCAAAGACTGTTTTGACATGTCAAAGAGACCCAGGCAAGAGTGCCATTATGCACAACTAGGAGAATTTGTTTTTCTAGTGAAACTATAATATAATGTCCCAAAGTAACGTCTGTCTTTTATCCTTACTTGATGTGCACTTCTATTTGTGACTTATTCTACTCATATTCTAAGCCACAAATAAAGTCATTTGAGGTAAGAGAAAACTCCCCCTTAATCGAGACTTTAGAAACAGACAACAATACACATAATAAAAGGTGAGGCAATAGGTGTCCAGAGGCTGTGGCTGCAAAACAAGCCCCAATCATCAGCCCTCAGACATAGTTTGAAATTTGGTTTTGGGTTTGTATTTTAATATTCGGAATTTCATCAGCAAACACTTCAGCATTGGTCTCATCTACCCAAAAGGCATTGTTCCAGTAGTTTGTAAGTTCACAGCTAAAATCAATTTTCCCTTCCAACTCCTGGAAAAAATCTAATTTATTCAATTTAAGAAATCTAGTACATTATCAGTAAAATTACTAAAATAATTAATTCTGCTGCTTGGCATACAGTTTGTTGAAACAATTTTGAAGCCTTTATACAGTTGGCTCAATTTACAGATTATCTTAGATTTGAGTCCAATTACTGCCGAAGCGTCACATCTGTAAACACATTTAGTTAACATCTTAAAGAAAAACCTAAGCAGAATTTACGGAAAGGTTATGCTTACATATAAACAGTTCTGTGGTTTACTTTGACGAGTAACAAAGTCTTAAACCTGTTTTTATCAATGAGCTCTTTAACCAGCTAAGCACTTTGGCTGTAGTAACCCTGGATACCCAGATAGCCATCTGTTAGCTACCCGGCTGCTAACAACCTAGCAGACAGACCGTTCACGTGCACAACTCATATTAAAATACAATTGGAACTAAAATATAACTTGTGCCTAAACAGAGAGAGCAAGAAATATTTCGCTGAGCACAAAGAAATCCAAAGAATTCCTGTAGGCTGGTTGAGCCTGGTTAGCATGTATCTCTCCTGTGTGCACGTGCTTACAAGCAGCCGGTCAGATGTAAACAATGGAGACATTCAAGTCCAAAAACACATTAAATAAAACAAACAAGTGGAGCTGGAGCATGCCCACTGAAAGCTACAACTATGTACGTTTCATATTTTGTGTCACGAAGCGTAAGCTCACCTTTAACATTAAAATTGACGGGTCACAGCTGCTTAGCTCCTTCCCGGCATGAGGGGACATACAAGCGACTTCCGGGTTTGTCTGACGTAAATTAGTTGGCCAACCAAAATCTCAAGAGAAATCTCACGGTAGTGTGAGGCAGCTCAAAACTAAAAGACTAAAGAAATATTCTCTTCAGATTGGGTTTTATAAACGCTTTGATTTCAGGAGCTTCTAAACCCAGACATTTTAAAATGACTTTATGTGCAGTTCCTTTTATTTATACAAAATGTTTTTGCGTGTTTTCGTTTTTTTTGTCAACTACACAACATTAGAGCGTGTGTCAGCCAATAAGAAATTATAATTAGAGTCCAAATAAGAAATTAATTGTTTTTCTTTTCAGACTTACATCCAGTTTAAATGACACAGAAAAGTTTTGCAGGTAGGTATTATGTGTGGCTTGTACATACATTTGTCTGGACAGTAAACTGTGGAGGTCACAAGGATGAATACCAACAAACTCATCAAAACCTTAGACATGGTATGGCTAAAATTTCCTTTAAATGTCACCCCACTCAAAGTTGTCAATCAATGGTTTGGGTCTAAGATAGAAAGCACATCATTCCTGCTCTCATCTTTAGAGTAATTGTAGCTTTGGGCTGACTGAAAGTTGAAGAGAGGCTTATCAATTCAAGTCCTGCTGGAGAAGTTGGTTCCATCTCACCTCTCAGTACTCTGCTCTGTCCTATGTTTGTCAATTCTGAAGTGTAATGATCGAATACATTAAAAAATTACAGTTATGCATAAATATTTTCAACCTTTGATGGATATTCTTTGTGCTCAGTGAACACTTTCAAACCACCTTATTTTGAAACTGATTATAAAATGTGCTTATCAAATTTAACAGTGAACAGGTCGGTTGGGCTGCTCCGCTTTCCAAGAATCATATTCCCTTCCCCAGACAAAAGATTCAGAGGGCCACAATTCTGTTCGACATTACATCATTCCCCATTTCACAAATGCTCCCCCTGCAAAGCACAAATGTTAACTTTAAAATGTCAGAAAACATACATATGTGAGTAACTCATACAGACCTTTCAGGCTTGGTTATTATTATGTGTTGATAGGAATGTAAATCTATATGTAAATGTAATTCAACAACTGGGCTATCACCATCAGTCATATTTAGAGCGTGTAGACTACAGCACAATTATCCAACTCTGGTTCTTGCAAACCGTCAAACATTTACATCCACCTTTCCTCCCTCTCTGTATCAAGAGAATAATAGTGAACTCTTTGTATCGACTATCCGGTCATAATAGTAGTGAGCAATTGCCATTATGATAGGGAATCAGAGGGTGAATGCCATCTGATTCTAGAGGTGTCTCCATGCATGTCCTTGCAGGAAAGGCCATCACAAAGTTGGATTGTTTCCTTCCAAAGGTTAGATTATTCCACATGTCATAACACTATCAGCTCTTTGAGCCTATGTATACATTGAACACAAACACACACATACACACACACACACTTACACTACTTAATATTCTGCATCTGTTTTGTTTTTGGGGGCCTCTGCCTCCCTTTGCTCCCCATATCTCTTCAAATTGATGCAGGTTCGGGATGCCTGACTGCCTCAGCGAAATTGTGATGTGCCTGCCTGATTTGGGGTCCAATGTATTTGTTGGTATTTACTATTATTACTTTTAGGAAAAAAGATGGATGAGGCTGGATGTGGGGAGGCATCTGCTTCAGCGGTTCATCTCCACGCCAGTGGTGCCCAGACCAGTGGTCTGTTGAGGATGGATGAAGTGTCCTGGATAGGGATTTCAGGTCCCCCTATATCCAATCACACATTCCAGAGGGGACGGTTCTGCTTGATAAATGACCGCTGTTCAAGTGAAGGAGTTAAAACAAGCATGTCATTGCTCTCATTTGCTAGTGTTTGTATATACGATCCAGGCCCCTTCCTTCATTTGGCACCAGGCGCGGCCTCGACAACCTCTTTAAAATGTTTTATCAAAGTAGGCTTTCTGTCGGCCACTCTGGAGTATTGGCAATATTCTCTGGCTGATGGCCATATGTGTGCAGAAGTGTCTTTCTGTGGGTTTTTAAAAAGAAAAAAAGCCTCTTTCTTTTCTTCATATTCTCTGGTTGACTTGATTCAGTGTGATGACACACCCTGGATTTTACAGCAACTAAACAAAATCCAGTCAAGTGCTTTGCTTTCACCGTTAAAAATTGACATGCACAGTTCTTTAGAGCAGAATGAGAAAAACAATGTTTTGAAAAACAACTCAAAGAACTATGTCATATCACACTGATTACTTGGATGATTAGTCTTTTCAAGAAAAGTAGTTTTTTCTACTCCTGAAACAGCCCAGAGCCACCACACAGGGTGATTTTTAAAACACCATCACCAGTTTCAAGAACCATTCAGTTAAAAGTAGCTGACGGTGTTTGCCACAGCGTAATCAATCATTACAATTAATTTAATAAAGAAGATTAAAAAAAACTAAAAGTCATTATTCGAATCCTTAAAAAGGTCCTGGACAATATGCTCAGATGTTTCTGTTCTTACCTGCTTGTGTATTATATTACAGTTGGCACGTTTCTGCTTTAACTGTACTCATTGTATTCTTGTTCATTCAATATATAGTCAACATAACATAACCAAAGCAAGAGAAATTTCTGGGGGGGGAAAAAAAGAAGGAAAGAAGAAAAGCCCACTTGCCCTGGATCAGCGATTCTGAACAAAAATGGCTGCCATGCATCAGCCAAAAGGGGCCCTCAGTTCTGTCACCATAGCGCTCTTCCTTCACAGCAGCACACGCGTGTGTCTGTAGAATCACTTTAAAGGAGGTGGGATCTCTTTTAGGCACATTAATAGACTTTTGGAGTTAAATTGCTATCAACTCTTGCAGATATGACAGAATCAAATAGCTTTGCGGGATAAGAAACTGATGGTGTATAAGAGAGATTCTGGAGTTAATATGCCAAGCAGAGCATTTATTAATCAGGGGCAGAGCTCGCAATCAGAAGGAGGCAAATGATAACACGCAAGCACTGAGGAATGAGAATGTGTCGGGGGGACCTTTCTTTTTGCACCATGTTAAAAAAACAAATATGTTTTCACGCCAAATATTTAATGTGTCCTTTATTTGGTCCCTTCTTTAAACTAGGATGTCACACTATTTTGGTCTTTGCAAACTTTACAAACTCAATGAAATGGTGTAGAATTAAACAAGAATTATTCATGAATAAAACAACCAGAGATCAAGTGTGGATTTCCAAATAATCTGTTAATTAAAATGAGCAATTAAACGTCTTCTTATCAGAATGATGCAAGAAGAAAGTCATATAGAAATCCAGTATTGCCTTTTAAACAGTTCTACTCATTGATTTGAAGCATGACTCTCCTCTGCGTGACATAGATATCTGAGGCATACAGGATATCAGAAGCATATAAAAACCTAATTGGTATAAAATGTAAAATATACTCAATTGAGGAATTTATTGTTTTACTGCCCAAAGTGCATGCAGATTAAACACAATTTAAAGGAGTAATATTAATAATCTTTAACTTGAAATGCTGGCATATTCTTTCCAGTTCATAAACTGTGACGAGGAAATAAAATTCAACCACCCACAAGCTAGAAAAGTTGAGAACCTGTATTGCTTTTTTGAAACAAAACAACCTTTTTTTATTATTACATTGGCAGATCACGGTGCCAAAAAACATCTGTAGCTATGAGTGTCTGAAATTCGCACCAATTTCAGATCTGAACATTTCAAATCCAATACACACACACACACACAACACAAAAAAACGCTCCTTTTTTGTGTAAAGCTGTTTGATCAGCAGTCAAAAAGAACAAGAATTACAACACCTTTTCAAGCTGGACCGAGCCGACTTGTGTCTATGGGGATTAGATTTTGTGAACAGACGCTCTACACATACACACACACACACACTTCATCACCCCACGAAGCCAGGACAACTCTTTTCAGCTGAGAATAGAAAACCACACTGACAGGAACCTTGTCTGCTCTATGTCCAGTCGTCATGCTGAAATGTTTACCTTTACATACTAATGGGCCGGTGTCATGTTGTGTCACATAATGTTTCACGGACAAATAATGTGTCCCATTTGTCAATCTACCCTGTAGACATAAAGCTCCCCTCACGGCCTCTATAGGTGTAACAACACCCCGGCACAATGGTTGCCAAAAAGGAAACCTTGTGTCGCCGCTGTGAAGTGCCACTCTGAAAGAAAATCTCAGGGATATTACAGAGGAAAGCCCAAGCATTCTGCAGCTCTGAGTGTCAGGAGGGAAGAAAAAGCAGGCACCTGGGTACAGGGAGACACGTTTATCTGTCTCTGAAAGGAAAGAAAGAAATATGCCATTGTCGAGAGAGATGTTTGATATTAAAAAATAGTAAAAAATGATCTGGAGCTTCTGGGTTAGTAGGTTAGGAAGTATAAACAAAAGTTTAAGGAAGGGAAACTATTAAAAATCAATGGCACAGGGTATTAGACAGTAAGGATGCAGCTGGCTCAATAGTGCAAAAAATACAAACCCAAACGAAGACCATTCATTCAAACGTGAAGAGAAAAAGTTTATTAAAAGGATTTTGTTCCCCCCATAGAGGTATTCGCATGCTTTGTCCTATGATCAATGTTGTGGATGTGCATGGACTGCTTTCATGTGCAATATTATACTGCTGTGTACTTAAACACCATCTCCAAAGTAAATATGAAATAATATATCAAAACAAACCAAAAAAACTGTGATGGGCCCAATATTTGTAATATCTAATAATATCAATTCTAGTTTCACAGAAGGTGGAAAAAAAGTGGTGGAAAAACACAGGTTCTTCAATTTAGCATTAGCTGCATTTTTCTTAATGTTGTTGTTCTGAAGTTCATTCATCAAATAAGGAGCAACACTGAGTAGAATGCAAAGGTGCAGTGTGTGTGATACAGTCAAATAGTTCTGCAATGGTTTTGATATATGAAATTGTGATATATAAAATAAACAAAATTGACAAATAAAAAATAAATGACAACATATATAACAATAAATACAATTTATTAAGGCCGGTCACATACAGTAAAATACCTATGTGTGTGTGTGTATATGTAGTTATGATTTTTTTTTTTAATTAACACAAAAATCCCCAAACTGCATGCCTGTATTATTTGTCTTTGCTTGTACTTTACACTAAACGTGAATGGTCTGCTGAAAGCCAGAAGTCCCAGTGTGGCAGGCAGCGTTTCCTCCTGTGTTTACGTGTTTACTTATTGTTCTAATCGTCCCTTTGGTTCTTGTGTCTCACGCGTTAATGCGATTCTTTCCGGTTCCGCTCGGTCAGAGAGCGGGTCACCGATCCAACAACTCCCACCCATATTAATTACATTAATTAGCACAGGGGTGGAAAACAAACAAGTGGTGATTAATATCTAAACTATGGCGAATCCTTTGAAGAGACCCTGCAGGCCAGCCAAATGTGGAGGGACGCAGTGGGGCTGCAGGAGTGGGAGAAAAGAAATGTTTCATCTGATACAACGAAAAGAGGGAGGGAATGTAGCTAAAATAAAATAAACTGCCATAGGTAAAGTAGACCAATCTCTTCAGAAAAATTATATTCTGCACAATCCCTGCGTTTGGGATACATTCCATAGAATAATACAGGCCCATATATATTTAAAGATGTAATGTGCAGAGCCATTTTAAATGTTTATTTATTTTCTCAGTATTGTTGTATTAATATTATCAGCCATAAAAATCTTATGACAATTATAGCACGAGGCTGACCTGCAAAAGGCCTTCAGCTATATTTTTGTAAAGTGCAACATTCATATTGAATAATAAATTATCATAATAATTGTGCCAATGTTTTTTCTTTATTTTCCACTTCAAAAAAAGCACGACTGAATCCAAAGAATTATACATCAGCAGTCTTTTGTTTTTTTAATTAATTTGTATTTATGTTCTTAAATAGCTCAATAGCTGGTCTTTTCTGCTTTTACGCATGTTGAGGAAATGCAGTAAAGATAAGAATTAGAGAATCGTTCCTCCTGCATTGACAGAGTCAAATCTTGGAACCCAGAATACATGTCTGAGAATTCAAAGGTATTCCAAAGAGTTCACAAACAGCCTTATCATTCTACCTGGGCCTGATCATCATTAGCTGTCCACACCAAGCTGTAAGCCAATAATATAACACTGCATTATTGAAATATAGCGAAGCCAGCTGTGGATATGCTGCCTATATACATTTCCTGTAGCCCTCCCTGAGGCTGCATGAATTTATTTTTCCAGATAAAAGTCTGTAATTGATTTATCTGAAATTCTTCCTTCGCCTGGAGGTGAGAGCTAGTCGGGTTTTCTTTCTTTCTTTTTTCTTTCTTTTATTTTTCTTTCTTTCTTTTTTTTTTCTTATCAGGCATCATCACAGGGGAAACGCGGCTGCTTGTGTTTGGATGTTGTGGGCGCGAGTCGGAGGTCAGGGTCGTAGTGTAGCAGCGCGAGGCGACAAGCAGGAGCAAAATGGGTCGCTGTCTCGTGCTTTGTTCCGCACTCAATTGTCTCGGGGCCGAGCGTGAACCCTGAGACCTGCAGCTGTCTGGAGGACAGAAACGGAGGCCCGGAAGGAGAAGTCACACATGGCGAGAAGGAGAGACGCGCCCAGCCTTTAATTATTCCATTTCAAAACTTGATTTTTTTGACTGATTTCTCTGAATGTTAACATCTTGTGGAGGGGAATAGTTTCAGTGAAGGGCAAGAAAGAAAAATTGTGATGTGTTATCTAACAAAAACTCTCCTTTCTTAAGGCTGAAGCTCCAGGCCATCTTTTTTTCTTATATAACTCTGGGTGAACATTCTCATCCTGCACAATTATAATTTATCCCCTGAGGGGTACTCAAAGGTTGATTTAGCATTTGTCTTCTCTTGTTAATCAAATATTCAGGTACGTCAAATCTCAAGTGTTTGCCTTGGCTTAAAATATAAATAGAGAGTGTACTGATCTAGTGTTTGTTTTCCCTCCTTTCTTTCCTCGTGGACATTTTTTTATTTTTTATTTTTTACTTGAGCAAATGTTTACTTGTCTACAACTTAGCCACGCGGTCTTTGCCAGTTGAGCCAAACTGACAGAACAATCTGATTCCGACCAAGAAAAAGAAAGCACATTGCTCCACGTGAGGACAGGGGGGAAAAAAACAGTTCTCGACGAAAACCAAACAAAGCCGTGAAAATCCGAATGAGAGGACATTTTCGGTTGGCAAAAAAATATTTAAATGAAATGTTCTGCTCACAGGTGTGCGTCCGCGAACAATCGCAACTGAGGACCGGAACTATCTGTTCTGTAACAAACAGCGCGCACAGGAAGAGGGGAGCTTCGTTCTCTCTCTCGAAGTTGTAGCTCGGTGCATTTGCGCCTTCCCCGCGCGCTTTGGCTCTGTGCGTAAAGAGCGCCGTGCGTAACAGGTGTGTGACGCCAAAGGAGTTCGAAAATCTGGAGAAAAAATAACCCAAAAAACGAAACAAAAGCAACACTTTTGATATCAGTCTCTTTCAATGTAAAATCCACTTTAACAGCAATTTGCTCTTAGAGATGACGTATTCAGCGAATTCAGTTTTTACGCAAATCGCGTCTTGTTACCCAAAAACCTACACACCTGACAATAAGGAGTGCACCAGAGGAAATGAATCTAACATATAACAGGGGGGGGGGGGGGGGGGGGGGGGGGGAAAGTTTAGAAAAGTGGAACTTGGTAACAGATGCGAGTGAGGGGGCGCGGTCCTGCTGGGAAGGGTGGAGGTTGCGTGCTTGTGCGCGGCCAGGCGCGAGCATCCCTTCGTGTTTGCGCGTGGGCGCGCGCGCGCGCGGGTGCACGCGCGTGCAGGAAGGGGACAGGACATGAGCGCACATAGAGAGAGCGGCTCTTTTTTTTTTTAACCCGGCGTGATCATTTCACGCTTCCCCCCGAAGCCTTTTTTCCACCTAAAGCGTTTAGTTGCAGCTGACTGAGCACTTGCAGGGAGTGCAATAGGGAGCGGAAGGGTCGAATTATTTCAACCTACAAGTCGGCCCAAAAGTACAGTAGGACGAAAGGGAAAGAGAGAGAGAGAGGGAGAGGGAGAGGGAGAGAAGGGTGCCGGATAGAGGGCGAGGAAGAGAGAGGGAAACACTGGGAAAAAGTTTTTGTTCTTTCTCTTTTTTTTTTTCTCCCACCATCGCCTCCCCCTGTTCTAACCGGGTAACATGGACCAGGGGCCCAGGAGTCCTCCACTTCGGCTCGGGAGAGCAGGTAGGATCGCATTGGCTCACTCTTTTTTGTTAGTTTAGTTGTATTTTTTTCTGTCTTTCTTTTGTAAATCAGAAGTTTGGGAAGTTGTACAACTTATTTGTGATGTACGTTGCTGGAACTTTTGCTTGTTTTTTTAATACTCTCAACTTATTTCAAACTTTTATAGAGTAGTCTGTAAAAGAGAGAGCCCCTGAAAAGTGATGCCAGTTACTGTGACGGGCTTGTTGCTCAAATAGCACGTTCGTTTGGTTCTGTCTGGCTTTGTAACTCTTGTAGGGAAACTTTTCGAGTTTGAAGCTTTATAAGAGGGTCGTTTTTTTTTTTTTTTTTAGCTTTGGTTATTGTTCAAGGAATTCTGCTTAAGAATCAGTTAATTTCAAATTGAAAGTTAGTGTTTTTTGTATCTATTGATCTCTTTTATTCTGATTGATTTTACAGCTAATTACGTAGTTTTTTTAATTTGTTGAGCTCTTTCATTCTAATGATTATTTTCAACAACTTTAATGCTTTGTTTATTTGTTGGTAATAAAACTAAAGTTTCTGAAGTTGATGTATGGTCGCCTGTCTAGAAACGGGAATGGCTCATAAAATGTCATTTTTAGTGGTTTTTACAAATATTTTGGTCGACAACCCAAATTATGTGTCCCAACACGGTTTTCTTGGGGAGAAGGCGAAGTTTTGAGGTCTTTGGACTGTGGAGGCTGGGTGTTGAAGCTGAACTGGTGCCTCGTGGGCCTCGGGTTTATTCAACAGGTTAATGTCCTCCAGATATATTCATAAAGCAGCAGGGT